AAGCTTGCACTTTGTGGTCTCTCTTGGCCTGTACCCCTTAAACTAATAATCGCCATAAGGGTAGGTCCATCCAGCCTAATAAGCATTCCCTTCACCACAACACTTGTTACTCTCCCTGAACTTGATGCCAAATAGAAAAAAACCCCTCACCAAGTCCGAGTAGTATGGACCTTGAAGTTCCAGAAATTGCTTCGGCCTTTGAAACTTCAATAGAGATGGAAATGTGAACCCTTTGTTGGTGAACCATTCTAGATTCATGGTATTTGGTGGGATTATTCTTCTCCCATCATACCATTCAAAATATTCCTTCTGGGTTTTCTCCTCCAGGAACCACTAGTTGACCAGAGCTTGTCTCTTAGAAGGTAGAGGTTTTTTGCTCCTCTTTACTTCAAGCTTTCTTGGTCTTTTAGAAGAAGATGAATCCATAGAAGTATTTAGAAGGTAAGGCATGAAGGTTTTGAAGGTTTAAAGATTGGAAAAAAGTTAGGGTTAGAGAATGTGAGAGGGATCCTTGAAGAATGATGGATTTATAATGAGAGGTGTGAGGTTTTGGGGTTTTGGGTGTTAGAGTGCATTTTAGAAATGAAGAGCCAGGGTTGTACAAAAAAATGATATTCCTAGGCAGAAAGATATGAAATGTAATATTATAAGGGGAATAATATTGGTAGATGCGTTGTCTAATAGAAACAACTTTGAATGAGGTAGGCTCGACCCTAAAAGTGAAAAGATAGATGATGAAGCATTGGCCCCCAAGGCCGGAGGGAGTTGTTCAGGCTTTTCACTAGTAGGATAGAGAAACTAGGACGTATGATGGTGTGCATAACGATCATGGCGTTTGTCAAGAACATACTAAGGAAACTTCCCCTTGCCTTTGTAAGAGGAGTGAAGTTCATGCCAAAGTTTCTCCCAATTTGCTTACAAAAGATCTTATCCATCATTCTTTGATATGTTGCCTCGCGTTTCTCAAACTGAAAGGCATTACCTTGTAGCATTAGTTAGCGGATTCTTTAATAAAAGTCATTTTTGACTCATCTCTAATATACATCCTTATCTGATTATAACCTGAATATGCATCCACAAAACTGAAAATTTGGTGTCTTGCTGCACCATCAACTAGTCGGTCAATGTTGGGTAAAGGATATGCGTCCTTTAGGCATGCCTTATTAAGATTGATGTAATCTATACATATCCTTCATTTCCTATTTGATTTTTTGACCATGACCACATTTGACAACCAAGTGGTATTGCACCTCTCTTATGAACCGAGCACTCTTCAGTTTATATATCTCCATTTCTATTGCTTTTCTTTTTTCCTCTCCCATTGTCCTTTTTCTTTGTGACACTGGACTCGCTTCTTTACATAAGGCCAACGGATGACAATGATAATTTGGATCGATGTCGAGTATGTTTGCTGATGACCATGTGAATAATTATGCATTTTTCTTAAGAGTTTCTTGAATCAACTCCTGATCATACTTCCCCAAATAGGACCCTATAAATGTGTTCTGCCCCAACTTTTTTCCCAATTGGAAAGATAAGGTTTCTTCACTAGGTTCCATTTTGAAGTCATCGTTGCCCATCTTGGGATCTAGGTCTACCAACTCCGAGGCTTCTTTAGTTATGACCAATCATTTGCATACCTCTATTTTCCTCTTCTACGATTGGGGTTATTTTATAACTAGCCATATAACACTTCCTTTTCACCTTCTGATCTGTATGCACAATAACTATTTCTCGAGCTTCAAAAGGTAATTTCATTGCCAATTGATGAGTAAAAACTATAGCCCCGAGAGCATTTATGGAAAGTCTTCCAAGCAGAATGTTGTATAAAGTATTTGTGTTTACTACAATATATCTAATTTTTGTGGTTTTACTAACTTGTTGGTCAAACCCAAAATAGGTATACAAGTCAATGCAACCTCTTGTATTTACCCATTCACCCAAAAAGCCAACCAACGACTCACTGTAGTATCTTAGCTCCACTTCTAGAATCCTCATTTACTTGAAAGTTTTTCAATACAAGATGTCAGCTAAACTTCCTTGGTCTACCAAGGTTTTCTTAATGATGCAATTATTGATTTCGACACTAATTACCATGGGATCATCCTTCTTGGGGTCCATGCCTTGAAAATCTTCATTAGTAAACGTTATTGTCAGTATTCTTGTCCTTCTTCTTTCTTCTATTGCATTAACTAACTTTATCATTCTAAGGTGTCTTTTTTGAGTCGACAACGAAGCTCCCCTACTAGGGAAGTCCCTGAAAATAATGTTAATTACCCTCTTTGGTTGGTTTCTAAAATATCATTATCTCTTTTCCTTTCCCTAAATCTACTTCTTTCTCGTTCATTTCTCCTCTTTCTGACCCCTTTCCTCGTTGTGTGTAGTCTTCTCTTCTTGAACTTTGTTCTTTGTGATAATTGAATTTCTCAACATAGTTTTTCAATTGTCCCTGCTTAATAAGATCTTCTACTTTATCCTTTAAAGTCATAATCTCTTCGATCGAATGGTCATGATTTTGATGATATGAGCATGATTTAGATAAATCTACCAACGGGGGAGCATAAACTCTTTTTGGCATCATTAGGATTTCAGATGATAGTGCTTGTTCTAAGATCTTTGCTCTACTCGCATTTAGGGGAATATAGGTAGTATACTGTGGTCCCCTAGTTTGTTAACTTTTCGTTCCATCTCCTTTTTTCTAATATACCTCCTTAAAGCTTTCTTTTTTATTGCTATAACATTTTCTCTGGCCTAGTTTCTCGATTTTGCTAATTCTTCCATCTACATGTATTTTTTCACTCTCCTCCTCAAATCGTTCAAATCCAAGGGAGGCTTTTTACATAGGTTATTTACGAATGCTCTTGGATTTAATGTAGTATTCAACCTATCCATAGCTACTGCTAGGTTTAAATTCTTTATTTCCATGGCTATCTTGTTAAAATGATCCATAAAAGACTGAAGATATTCTCTTTTTTCTTAGTGGATATAAGCTAGTGCTAATGAAGCCAATTGATAGGGTTAACTAATTGCAAATTGTACAGTAAAAAGATTGGCTAATTCCTGGAAAGAATTAATTGACGTTGGGGGAAGCTTCATAAACCAACTAAAAGCTCTTTCTTTTAACGACATGGGAAAGATACAACACAAAGCGGTGTCCTCTTGAGTTAAGAGCGTAACATGGGTCAAATATGTATTCAAGTGTTCATCAGGATCTAAAGACCCATCATATTTTTCCAACGACAGGTTTCTCCAACCATTGGCCAATACTATTTCCATAATTTTTTACGTGAACGGGTGCTTATAGGATCCTATTATTGTTCCCCCAAGGGAAAATTTGCTCGCGAATGATCGAGGATTGTGCAAGTGGGGCCTGTGTTTGGGGAGTTTTCGGCACATGATATGAAGAGGCTTCGATCTGACCATTAGGATTCCAAGTTCTGTTCAAGCTTTTTGATTCTACATTCTCTTTTTGGAGTGCTTCAAGTTCTTGAGTGTCCTTATCCCAAGCTTGTCTAATGCCTATTACCTCTTTGTGAAGCTGTCTTATAACGTCTAAGAGTTCGATTTGATCCTCTATAACAATCGGTCTAGACACTTGTTTGGGTTGTACAGAGTTGGATCCTCCATAGTTATCCCTCCCAAAGAGGATCCTTATCTAGTCTTTGCTCGATGCTTCAAAACTGATGCCTCTCCTACCCCTGACTACATCTTCGCGTCCTTAGATCCTCAAGATCCAAACCCTTTCTTTTATATGTATGATTGTCTTTTTTGAGATCTTGGTATTACAATCCCTTTCCACCCTTTCTTTTGTAACATTTTGAGGACCTTAAATGTTGCTCTCACCAAACTTCACCCTAACAGTTAGGCTGTTATGCAAGCCTTTCTTTATCTATGTAGGTTTTGTCATGTGAACCTTTCACCCAGCTTATTTCTTTATCATTACTACTATTGTCCTTCCGAGAACATCAAGTGGGTTTCTCTTGCTTGTGTCCTTGGTCGAAAGCTCCTTAAACCTTATGCCTCTTCATACAAAACCTTTAAAGTAGGATTTTTCAAGATAGGGATTCATCCTTGATGCCATTTTCAATTTTTTGATAAGGAAAATAAACCTTTGTGTTTCCTTTATATTGGATACATGATCCTTTTCACATGATCCTTTTTGGTATGATACCCTCTCTATTGATTTTCTTTTTGACGAAGAGATTTCAGATTTGAAATTTCTTGATTCTTTGTCCTAAGACCTCTCCTGTCGATGGCTTATTATCTTGCGCCAATTGCCTCAACCCTCCAAAGGTCTTGAAGGTAAGCAAATTTCCTATGATTCTCTTATTTGATTTACTTTTGATTGTTGACTTTCCTCTTGTTCTAGGCATCATGGAAGCCCTCGACTCTAATATTCCATTTTTCCGCCAAGTGAGAAAGGAATGTGCTCGCGTCAAAGCCACTACTACTAAGGCCGCCACCACTTTTGTTGTTGCTAACAACCTTTTGGGTATTGAGTATACCCATACTCAATGAATAGGAAATTTATGCTTCATACTCATTTTCATGTATACTCATACTTATCCTTAATTTACTCAAAAATTAATTAATAATTTTTTTTACAAAAGATATAAAATTAAGAATTTAAGAATTTGACCATAGAGTAATCATTACAAAATAACATTAATTAAATTTTATCTTATATAAATTTAAAATAGAATAAAAATTATATAAATATGAAGTAAACTCTAAAAAAATAAATTAAATTTATACAAATTAAAGTTATATGAGACATGAATGGAAATAAGATAATTAATTTATTTTCATATCTAATTTAATAAATTAAATATGATTTATACCCGTGTTTAATCAAATAGATTTTTTTTTTATAATCAAAGTTGGAATGAATACATAACCACCTATTTCCTTACAATTTTTTATTATTTTATTTTTAAATTTAAAAAGAAATAAGAGTCACCAAAGTGCCTATTTTCCGAGCTCTTAAAAGTAACCAGCGAACCATTCGTTTGTATATTCAAAGGACGACAACGTGTTGCCTTGTGCTGCCGGGTGGCCATTTTCTTGCTCCACCGCGTTAGGGTTTTCAGAGTTTTCCCGCTTTCCCTCGTTTGTTTGGCGCTCCCTATCATTCACACAAGTTCATTCGGCTCATTTTGTGGCCACAAGAAGAAAAATGATCGACCTGTTCCTGCGAGAGCCCAAGTGGAACGACGTCGTAGACGACGATTCAGCTCGATCGAGAATCTCCCTTCTGAAGGACCTGGAAAGCGTAATTTGGTCCACAGTGGGTCGCGCCGAAGCTCGGTTGTGGCTCTGCAACACCGTCGCCGGATTGAACTGCGTGACCTTCCTCGATCAGCGTGACCTCTTTCGGAGTTTGCTCAGAACCCGCGGCCTCAAGCGCGATTTCGCCTCTCAGCTTCTGCATTTCATGTTCGACGCCTCGCCGCACAAGCTCGGTTCCGTTTTGGCTCGGAGGAGTCACGTGCTCCACAAATTTTTTGAAGGTTTGTGTTTTTGTGTTCCTTTTTTAGTTCAGGTTGTTGGGATTATTTTATTTTTATTTTTATTTTTATTTTTATAATCATGGTATTGATACGAAATATTAATTTTGGATGGAAAAGTGGTTGACCAACAAGACCGAATGCAAGTGCAGCACCACTAGTACTAAAGACTTGTTAGTTGGGAGGTTTTAAATTGTTGTTGTTGCAGTGGAGTTGTAGTTACTGAAATTGTGACCGTCATTGCGGTAACCTGGCAATTTTGTAGACCCTTGAGATGCTGAACTAATGTTCGTTTCTTGAGTGAGGTTGCAAGGTTTTAAATTGCTTTTGGGAGTTGTAGTTACTGAAATTGCAAAAAATTGTGAAAGAATGTGGCTTATTCTGCTCTAATTTCGGTTGTATTACAGCTGCATAGACCTCGGAAAGACTGAAACCAAAATACTTTGGCCACAATTGCGGTTGTGAGCCACACTTCGAGACTTTGGTAGTTGGTAGTTGGTACTTGGTAGGTTGTTTTGGGGTGAAACGTGCATTTTACGGTGAAGTGGATATAGAAAGATTGCATTGTTAGAGATTTGAAGGATTGAATAAGCAAAATTGATGAAGAATGCATATGTGAGGGGTGAAAATTGGGTCTTACTCCTTTGTTGTACTCTTATTTTTTAATATGTGTTGTAGGTTATTTATAGGGATATTTTGCTGCTCTATGTTTCAGCCGGTGTAATATATGTTGATTGCATTTAACCTTATTGTAGTTGAAATGTTTCTGTATTGAACTTATATATATGTTTTGGGTGCTGTGATATTCATTAAATTAGGGTTTACATATTGTGATGTGAATTATTGATGATATCAAAGCAAGTTGTGAAGCAGTTGTCTGTTTGATTGAAACTTGTTTTGTGAGGTTTGATTGTGTAACTTGTGTGGGATGCAGGTAATCCCAAGCGAGTATCACAGTGGTTTACCTGCTCTTCCTCTGGTGGTGGACTAGAGCAGGGGAAAGGTTTCAGGGCACTGTCCCAGTTTGCATTTAAAAATAGAGATATTTGTTGGGAGGAGCTAGAGTGGAAAGGAAAGCATGGGCAGTCACCAGCAGTGGTCGCTACGAAGCCCCATTATTTTCTTGATTTGGATGTTCAGCAAACTGTGGAAAATTTTCTTGAGAATGTTCCTGAATTTTGGTCATCTGATGAGTTTGCTGAGTCAGTGAAGGATGGTGATATTTTTTTCATTGATAGGTCATTCTTTGTGCATTATTTCATTGCCTTAATGTATAATAAAGAGGAATTTAAAGGTGTATGGGATGTCGTAAATGAATTCCTCATGCAGCAGCCTTTCTCCTCCTTATGTGGGCGTCTTCTTATTGCTCTTGAAGACCAGGACTTATGCTATTTTGTGGAATCGATTTGTAAATCTCTTGGCCCAAGAATGGAACATCAACATTTCAATGACATCTCTAGTTATTTTGTGATTTTAGTTTTTAAGTGTGGTGCTTATGGATCTATTGATCAGTTACTGCTGTTAAATGCTGTCACTGCACAGGGGAGGCAGCTTCTACGCCTCTTACGTGATGAAGAGGCTTGGGAGCCAAAAGAAAAAATCAATGAGATCGTGTCAAAGATATCTGCAATCCCAAGCAATCCTAGTAGCTTGACCCCAATCATCAAGAACAAATATAAGATGAAAACTATTGAAGTGATAAAGTGTCTGGGGCTTCTGTCTTGGCTTCTTTACTATAGACTGTCACAAGAATGCCGGACCCCTGAGTCCTGGGAGTCTGTATTTATGAATAATCAAATCAGCTTCCGTAACTCTAAGAAACATGCATTGCCAGATGAGGATGGACCATCAAAAGATTGTTCTGGTTTTGATAGCAGTTCTTCAATTAGAGTAAAAAATAGGAGGAAAAAAAAGGCCAGAAAGAAGAGGAGGACCTATGAATGCAATGAAGATAGTGATGGGGAGCTGCTAGATTTTGATTCTGCAAGCCAGAAGTTGGGTTTTCAGTCAAATACTAGAAGTTGGTTGCTTTCAACTGATGGGTACTCTTCAGTATGGAGCAGTGTAAGTTCCATATCTTTGAATAAACTGCTAGGCTGATAAAACTTGAGTGGACAGAATTTTATGTTACCAGAAAAAAGTGAGATTTAGATTACCAGGAAAAAAAACAGTAGAGTCACCATAGTAGTTGAATTTGAAACATTTATTATGGACATAGAACTTCATGATTACGTTCAAATAAAAAATGTTTATGCCTGATACTTGTTTCGGTTGTTAAAATCTGCTAAATTGCTGGATTGGAATTTAGAGATTGATTCAAGGAAGTAGAGACATTTCAAAATAGCAACCTTGTTGTGTCATACTTCATACTTGTGCTGGGTACTTCTTGAACACTTTGAATTCTTGTAGCTGAATTTTATAAGTTTTTTTTTCACTTGTGTTTTAAACTTTTATATCAATACAAAAGGAAATATCACAATAATTAGATAAATTGTTGCATCTTACAATGTCTATGTTATAGTAACTCATTCATGTTCAAGAGGTCAATTCTCTCTTTTGATCTAAGATTTGTGTTTTATATTAATTTGTTTAAAATACTCTTTTAGTCCCTATAATTTTCCTTACTTTACTTTTTAGTCCCTATAGTTAAAATGGACCTTTTTAATCTCTATACTTATTTTTTCAATCTTTTTTAGCTCATATAGTTTAAGATAGATATTTTTTTATAGACCCTCGGACAATAGGGAGGCCCAATTGAATAGGCCCCAAGTGTGGAAAGTGTATGTGAGGAGGAATAGGAAATCTGTTAGGAACGATGAGGTGAAGGAGAGAGGAAATGAGGGAAGGATGATGTGAGAGAATTTGGTTATTTGGGAGATCGGGAAGAGTGAGGAGCTGGGAAAATACCTTTCTCTAAATAAGGAGCTGAACTATGCGGGTTTAGGGGTTTCTCTATTGCATTTTACTTCGTTATCATCAATAATACATATTACTCACCCATTCTCATCCATTTTATTGTTATATTCTGTGAATTGTTTTTCTGGTTTGTATTATTTTTAGTCTTTTTATACTTGTAATTTTTTAATTTTTTTAGTCCTTATTCTTACTTTTTATTTTTTTGTAACATTTGTTTTGTATTAATGTGGTAAAGGTCTTCAATTTTTTGTGAGTAAAAAAAGAGTGTCTCAAGAGTGACCATTGCAGGTGAAGGTACAAGAGAGACATGAAACGTCAAGATACCTAATTTAGAGTAACTTTAACAAAATAAATTTAACATTAAACACACAAAGTTGAATTAATATCTTTGTTACATCAATACAAAAGAGATAATGTTATAAAATAATTAATAATAGAGAATAAAAAGATTAAAAAACTTTAAGTGAAAAAACTAAAAATATCTATCTTAAACCATAGGGACCGAAAAAGATTTAAAAAGATAAGTATAAGGCCTAAATAGATCTATTTTAAATTATAAGAACTAAAAGGTGAAGTAAAAGAAACTATAGAGACTAAAATAGTATTTTAATCTATTAATTTTACACATTCTATTAGAACCATGTTGTGTCTTATGATTTTTATAATTTACCTTATCCATGTCCCTTATCTTATTTATCCATGATTTCTAGTTTATATAGATCAATAAATTTGTCTCATTTGACATACCATTGTTTTCAAATACGATTAGCCTTGAATTTATTTGGTATAATTGCTAATTCACTACAGATATTTGGTTTTGGTTATTATTTGTAAAATAGTTACTGTCTGATTCTAGGATTATATCTATTATTTGATTACCAGTGCTCAAATATCATATTTGAACTGAAGATACTCCCTTTCTGTCCTATTTGTGGTCCCTTGTATAATTTTATATTTCAAGTTTTTGAATCATTTCAATATTTCTATTTGGATACAGCTTGATAAAGGTGATGTAAACGGGCACTGTATGGTTAATCTGATTTTATAATTTTTTCTTTTTCTAGGATGATTTACCCGAGTACCTTCATAGTCAGTGCTTGTCTAAGTGGATGACATGGCTTTTTGAAAAATGAGTTCGTGGTCTGCCTGTATGGATCAACCCGAGAGATGTGCCATCATCATGTCCAAACTGTTGGATGGAAAGATCAATCATCCCTCATTTTGCTGTTTTCCACTCAGTTCATGTACAGATGCTGTGATTCTTGAATCTTCTGTTGGCTATTGCTCATATGCAAAACTTTGTACTTCATTTTGAAGATTCGTACAAACATAACTGGACTTGCTGGGGATGGGAAAGATCTGGAAAATACCATGAAAAGCCAGCCTAAGAACTCCCTCAAGGTCATTAAAACTTGAGTTCATTATGAAGATCTTGAAGAGATCAAAGCTTTGCTAATTTACTTCGCGGTCTGCTACCATCTTATAATTGGCAACATAGTTTGTCATCCATATGCTATGAATTTCTCTATCACACTTCAGTCTAGCTTCCAACGTTGCCAGGATCATTCAGATTGCTATATGGAGCATGCTCGGGCTGGTTATACTAGAACTCCTTGACTAATTTTCTAACGGTATATTACCTCTAATTGTATTTATATTGTGGACCACAGTTTATAGCATGTCTTATCTGCTGATAAAGAGACTGGGATGCATGTTCGTTATTTGAAGTTCTCTTTCAATTTAATATTACTTCATGAATCAAATGATGGACTTGGGAACTTAATATCTTGAACTAATTTCTATGTTTGATGCAACGTACGGGTAGAAACACAGGGGCTTGTACTACAATGTTGTCGGACCTTATTTGCACAACTAATATATTCAATATCTCCCTTTCCTATACCTTCTTAAACCCATGATGAGTCAAACAAGGTTTTTTTTTTTCCAACATAAAATAATAGTTCAAATACGATTTTAATTTCTATAAAATACACAATTCTTTCTGTAATAACATTTGTAGTTTTCAAACCATTTATTGTATCAAATGTTGAAATACACAATGGTTAATAGACTTCTCCAAAAGCCGTGTTATAAATGATACCCTTTAACTGTTGTGGTGACATTGATTCTCCCATTCACTTGGTTCAATCATGCATTTTCTTCTTTTTTTTTTTTTTTTTGTATTCCTGACCTCAAACCCACTCGAACAACTCCTGCAGATTCTGGCAGTGCTTTCAAATGTGGGAATATAGACTTCGCACTCATCATCACCGACTACTCCTCTTTCTCTCCCTCAATAGTGATTTTTTCAGCTTTCAATATGATCGATGGGACTGGAAAGTTGTTACAAATTGCAATTATTCCGTGAGAAATTATCGGCATGCTAAGGGCATATTTGAATAGCAATGATGTTTGTCGGCCCCTATCAAGAGATGGAATTTTTTCGTATAAAACAGAATACATTTCTTTAATTGATGGAGTTGAGCTCAATCAGGAAGATGTGTGCAATCATATTTGGAAAATTAAGGGTCCGAAGAGACTTCATTTGCAGGTCTGGAAAGTGTCAAGGGACAAGCTTTCAACAAATATTCAAAGGTTCAAGAGACAAATCTCTCAATTATGCATATTCAACAAATATTCAAAGGTTCAAGAGACTTATCTCTCAATTATGCATCTTATTAGATTGTAATTATATTAAGGATATAGATTTAGACTTTGTTGCGGAAAGATGTGCCAGATGAGTTTTATTGTGAGGTTCTGTAATGGGTCAGATTTAACATTGTTTCAAAATTCAAGTGCTTTAAATAATCCTATTGATTGATACTACCTTGGATGTGATTTGGTAAAGGACGAATGACTTTGTTTTTCGTAGTAAGCTTATTTGGTAAAATCAAAAACGGTGTTCAGCAAGTGTGAACGTGTTGCTCTATGGAGAATAAGATCCTGAATATTAATGCTATGAATTCCAACCATGCGGCTTCTCCAATGCATGGTACTGGTTGGTGCCCACTTATCGTACACTTAGTAGATACAAGACGATGGAACCTGGGACGGATTCAGGGGTGGGCAGGCAGGCGCTTGGCCCCCTCACCCTTCACTTTTTGAAAAAAAAAAAATTTATTATTCTAAATATATAAATTAAAAATTTCGTTAAAAATTGATATATCTATATATATATATATATATATATATATTAT